CCACCCCAATTTTATTTTGCATTTTAGACACTTCCATCTACATCATTTTCACAACACACATCTATGTAGGGCATTTTCGGGGGGTGGGGGTCAGGGCCACCGGGGGGGGGGCTTATTTTATGGGCCTCACCACGGTCGGCCTCCTCCATCCCCTCTCGCATCTAGACATTGAGGGTTGAGGGTTGTCGAAGGGGGAGGGTGTGCTGGCACCGTCTATCTCCTGGAGGGGGGGTGGAGTGTGCCGGACACCCCCTCTTGGTACTCCCAGTTTTAATTGCATCTGAGAGCAACACGCAACAACACCACATTCGAGCGGGCGCAGTGAGGATCGGGGTCTTCTCACACCGCTGTTCTCCGGCTGCCGCCTGGAGTCTGGGGCCTGGAGGAAGAGCGGGCCACCTGGTCCGTGGTTTTGGCTGGGGCTGGCTGCGGGGCCTAGGTGGCCTGCTGGTGGCGGGGCTGTCACCTCTGCTCTCCCCAAAGAAGGTTGGATGGAGGGGCATGAAGTGCCTGGTTGAAGGTTTTTTTTTTTTTTTTTTTTTTTTTTTTTTTTTTTTTTTTTTCTTTTCGGGGGGGGGGGGCGGTTCTGGTTGGGTGGCCGGCGCGGGATGGGTGGGCCCCGGTCCCGGGGGGGGCTCTTGAGGGGGGTGGTCCGGTCCGTGTGCGGGGTGGGGGGCCGGGCTTGAAGCAGGAAAGAGATGGGTTGGTGTGGCGGTGTCGCCGCTCCCCTCCCCTCACATCCGGATTTTAGGTTCACTTATGGGGTCATCCGATAGTCCCGGGACCGACCACCGGTGTCACCGGGTTTTTGGTCCTGGTATTATTGGATGTGAGTGTTATGTGTGAATGTGTGTCTGCGTTGTTATTTTCTTTATTTATTATTATTATTTTATTCAATTTTTTTTTTTTTTTTTTTTTTTTTTTTCTTTTCCTGTGGTACGAGTGGGGGCACTAGGGAGGGAAGGCATGATTGAGATGGTGTGTTTTTTTTTTTTTTTTTTTTTTTTTTTTTTTCTTTCCCAGGTTGGGGTCTCAACCGCACCCTCTCCCAAATACATCTCAAGTCTCCGCTAAGTGCGGAGCCCATTCCCCCCGTCCTGCTCTCCCTCCGCTGGCTGGCGTCGGGGCTCACCGGTGCACTGGTGGAGCTGGGGGTGGATGCCCGGGGGACTGCTGGCTCATTCCTGGCGGCCTCTCCACTGGCCCCGGCCGGCCGGGGCTTTGCTGGGGCTCCTGTCTGGGGGTGGGGTGCCCTTGGGGCCTCGGATCCCTGGGGCCTGAGACTGGATCCGCTTCGGGGTGGGGCTGGGTGTTGTTCGGGGATTTTCGGGGTCGGTGCCGGTGCCTTCGCTACGATGCCGGTTCCTGGGCGGTGTTTCTTTCCTATGCCGGTTCTGTGGTATCGGTTCGGGGAGGGGGGGAGCTGCGCGGCATGGTGGGGTGCGGGTCTTGGGTCCTGTTTTGGGCTCCGGTTTTTCCGCTCGCACTTCTCCTCTTGCCTATTTATTTTAATTGTAATTATTAATTAATTTATTTATTTACCTATTTATTTGTTTTTTTTTTTTTTTTTTTTTTTTTTTTTTTTCTCTTCCTCGGGGGGGGGGAGCGGTTGCGGGCGGGTCGGTGTCTGGTGTCCGCTGTCGCATTGTGGGGGCCCCTTTTTTTTTTTTTTTTTTTTTTTTTCTTTTTTTTTCTTTGGGGGGTTTGGCATGTCTGTTTTCTCGGGGGGCAGGCGGGCCTGCTGGGTGGGGGTCCTGCTGGCGGCGCGCCGCTGGTGTGTGGGGGTCCGGGCGGCTCCGGCGGGGGTAGGGTTGGGGGGCCGGTCTGGGCGGGCTGGCTGCGCTGGCTGGGTATTCGGGTGGGTTTTCCCTCCTGGAGGCATGGCGGGGCTGCTCTGTTCCCACTGATCGCGGCGGGTGGGGCTGCGGGGCGGGTGTGGGCCTGGGGTGGCTATGACCGGCGCGTGGTGGGGGGCCGGGGCGGCGGAGCTGCTCTGGCCGCGTGTCGGGGCCTGGTGCGGGCTGCGGGGGGGGGTGGCGGACGTGGCTGGGCTGCTTTGGCATCGTCCGGTGGGGGGGGCGGCGCGGTTCGCTCCGCTCTGGCTTTGTGCTGCCCCTCGGGCTGCTGGGGGGGGTGGTTGCGCCGGCTGCGGTCTGCTCCTCTTGCGGTTTTGCGCCGGGCGGCTTTTCTGCTCTCGGGCTGATTCTGTGCGCGGTGTGTTTTGTTGCGCGCTGTTGGCATCGGTCTTGGTGGGGTGGGGCTGCGCTTTTGGCCGGGGGGGCGTTTTGGGGGGGGTCCCGCGGCGCTCGTGGCCGGTTCGCGGCGGATGCGCATGGGCCCCGGCCGGGGGCGGGGCCGTCTTAGTGTTTTCCTGGGTGGTGCGGTCGCGGTGGGTGTTGCGGCCGGTCGCCGGGGCTTGGTGCGGGGGGGGCGGGGCGTGTTTCGGTGCTCTGTGGGGCTGGGGCGTTTCGGTCGGCGCCGTGGGGGGGCTGGTGTTCGGCGCCCGGCCCTACTTCGGGGTGGCCGGCTGCCGGCGGGGCCCGCGGACTCGTCCCCGCGGCTCCCCGGGGCGCCGGCATGGCGGTGGCTGGGGGGCTTCCTCGTGGCTGTCTCTCCTCCTGCCTTGGTGGGGTCTGATTTCCGGGGCTGGCCCCGCCTTGGTGCCTTCGCTTCTGGGGTCCCCTTGGGCGCCTGGGGCTTTGGGTCTCCCGGCGCTGGACTCAGTGCTCTGGGGGGTGTGCCTCTCCGGCTCTCCACAACCACTATTGAGCATTTTTTTTCTATGGTTAAAACTTTACATGCACAAGTTCACCCTCACAAACAACTACAGGTGCTAGGCTTCAGGTACTTAGAGATTCACTTCCAAACAGAAACCCCACATTCATATCTTCAGGTAACACAGAGTACATGTCAGACTTAATAATATTACTTTAGTGATAGTTTCAAGGTGTTTGCTTTATTGTATATCTCGTACCATGTTTTTTGGTTGTGCTGTTCTTTTTTCTTTTTTTTTTTTTTTTTTTTTTTCTCTCCATCTCATTACAGGTGTTGAAGCAGACTGAAAATGTTTTGTCATTGTCTCCTTCCTATCTCCTCTTTCTTTCATCTTTTGTCCTGTTTTTTTCTTTTTCTTTTTCCTTCTTCTTCTTCTGTTTTTCTGCTCTACTTACATTGCAGTGTCCATATGAACTGTAAAACTCCCTGCATAATTATAATAAAGCAATTTATATACATGAAACAAGTGGAGCGGTATGGCAATTGCGATACCGCTACACTTGTGAAAGTAAAATCTGTTGGGCTCCTTTTGGCATCAAGACAATTATTCTTATTGCCACCTTGCCAGACAGGACACTGTAAAAAAAAAAAAAAAAAAAAGCCTTCCCGTATTCTGTGGCGGTAAACGCTCTTACATAATCAAAACAACAGCCTTGTGGACTGGGACACGGTGCATACATTGTCCCTGGCAAGCTTGAAACTGCCCTAATTCTCTGTGACCCCATTCTGCAGCCGTAGCCATGGCGCTAAACCCGCTCATATCTTGCACCTCCTTCTCTGCTGTTATATAATACTTTCTGAAGGTCCTGATAAAATCTGTTTTCTCATACAGATATATAATGGTTTTCGTAATTGTTTGATAACATGCTCTAACTCAAAAAAGTTTAATATTTCTGTTAATGATTCCTTTCTTTGGTTTATCACTATCGGCAGGTCTATTAATACTTTTGCATTTTTAAGATTTCCAAGTAGTTTTTTTTTTTTTTTTTTTACGGCACTAGTGGCTAGTTTTTTAGACAGTAGGCTGAAATGAAAGGGAGTATGAGAAAGGGGGAGAGACATGCGGCAAAGGACCACAGGTTGGATTCTAACCCTCTGCCGCGTCAATGACTAAGGCCTCCATACATGGGTCATGCTCGCTAACAGCTGCGCCACCTGCACGCCCTGAAATACACTTTTTAAGGCTTCTAAGGCATTACACCATGAATATGCTCAAAGAGTAAATATCCTTGTCATGCTTTTTCCGGTTCAGATGTGTTGGGAGTTCTAGAACTAGATATTTATACTTATTTGTTGACACATTATTGCCAAAACTATTCATTCATCTATATTCAAACACACTCATGATTTAGTGACATCTCTTTTTTTTTATCTAGAGTTAAATCTGTCCTTTGTCTATACTTTGCAGCTAATGTACATATAGCTATTTACAGGAAGGCTTTCCATTAGCCTTAAAAGTGTTTTAAAGTTTTACAAAATGTTTCAACAAGTGCATTTAAGTGGTTAGACACTGATGTTGGATGGGAATGCATACCTTGCAATTATGTATCTTTATTGAAGTTAAGACCATGTGTTGGTCAGTCTAGATTGCACAGCTAATGATTGTGCAGAGAGAAAGTTGGTATTAAATGAAAATGGTTAAGCAAACTGCAGACATCAGTAAGCATTTTGAACTGATAAAACAATGCTTTTTTGATTCCTAAGGAAAAATGTACTCTCCCAAACAACACCCATGGTCGCGTCAGAGGTCTGGTTCTTTGAATCCAGTAGAGCTATCAGTCACAGAGCTGTTGTTAATTTTTTTTAATAAAAGAGGAACAAAAGAGACAATTTTCGGTGGGTAGAAATAAAATCTCCCTATTTATGTTTGACTTAAATAATCTTTTATTCCCTTTTCCTTTTAATCTCTGCGCAAAGAGCTTCTGTGCTCCTTCTTCTGCGACACAAGTGAGCCGCCACATGGTTATTGGAAAAGCTCCCAGGAAAATTTTTTTTATTATTTTTTCTATATAACAGTTGACAGCCAATGATTTCTGTTTTATAGGGGTGGGCTATGAAAATAGTTTTTTTTGTTTTGTTGAAAAGGTAAGTTTTACAATGAAACTTCTGGCCTAAAAAAAAAAGTATTTTACGTTTCATTGATTTAGGGGTTTTTCTTACTATAAAAAAAAAAGTTTTTTTTTTCTGTTTGATGTCATTTTGCCTTTATTTTGCAATTTCTCCAGCGCTCATTCTTTTGTCGTCTGACTGATGACAAAAAATCAGAGGAGTTCTTCCGAGTTTTCTACAACCGTATGAAGTCGGCTCAGCAGGAAATCAAAGCAACAGTGACCGTAAACACCAGCGATTTAGGAAACAAAAGAAGAGACGATGACAGCCAGGACAGAGATGTCCCCACTCGCAAAAAAGGTTGGCTTTTATCTGCTAATGAACTTATATTGATGTTTTTTGATACCTAACTGTAAATTGATGGTCACCTATATTATGATTCTTTCATTTCAAAATTTTTATGTAGCTCGAGATTCAACTGTAGCGATGACAGAAGATGTGAAAGAGCAGTTAATAGAGGCTTCATCTGCAACCAAGAAAGCCTTCAATTCTTACAGACGAGAAGCTGACCCAGAGGACCATGGCTCCTCAGCAGATGGCCTGCCCAGCACTGGGGCCAACAATCATGAGGAAAAGATGAGCTTTGTGGTTGTTATCATGCAGCCCATTCTTCGCTTCTTGCAGCTACTGTGTGAAAACCACAACCATGACCTGCAGGTGGGACACACTGACAATCATACGGGTTTGAGTCTGTTCTTTAGACATCTAATATGTGGATATCTAATGTATGGATTTTAAGAGAGATTCTGTTAGTATCATATTGAACCTATATTATAAAACGTAAGGTGGTGAATAATTGTTACTTTTCAGGAAAACACAAAATTTTTTGGGTGACCCCAAACTTTTAAACGGTAGTGTATGTATATATATACACATATATAGATATATGTATAGATATATATATATATATATATATGTATATATATATATATATATATATATATATATATATATATATATATCTATATGTATAGATATATATATATATATATATATATATATATATATATATATATATATATATATATATCTATACGTATAGATATATATATCTATACATATATATATGCAGAGATGGCAAAAGTACTCACTTTCCGTACTTGAGTAAAAGTACAGATACTTGTGTTAAAAAATACTCTGGTAAAAGTGGAAGTACTGATTAAACTTCTTTACTCAAGTAAAAGTAACAGAGTACAGGCTTGTAAATTTACTTAAAGTATAAAAGTAAAAGTAGAAACCACTTTTTTCATGCTGTTGCCTACATTTTAAATGGATGTCTGCCAATAGGACTAGATCTCCGTTGTGTTCATTTTGAATCATCTCGTCGTCCATGCTACTATGCTAACGCCACCGCCACCAAGCTGCAATGATTTGCCGCCAATGAATACCGCCGAATCTGTCGATTCATCTTGTAGTGGTGCGTCAAATGCAATGTAGATTCCCATCCAATTAGATTGAATTTGGTATTGATGACGTGAAAAATAATAACGGTAACTCCATCGAAATGATTCAAAACTAAAGTAACGAGACAATTTTTTAAAATGTAAGGAGTAGAAAGTACAGATATTTGTGTAAAAATGTAAGGAGTAGAAGTAAAAAGTCGCCATAAAAATAAGTAGTAAAGTAAAGTAAAAATATCAGAAAAATCTACTTGAGTACAGTAACGAAGTATTTGTACTTCGTTACTTCCCATCTCTGTATATATGTATGTGTATGTAAATACACTCACCTGCCACTTTATTAGGTACCCCATGCTAGTAACGGGTTGGACCCCCTTTCGCCTTCAGAACTGCCTCAATTCTTCGTGGCATAGATTCAACAAGGTGCTGGAAGCATTCCTCAGGGAGTTTGGTCCATATTGACATGATGGCATCACACAGTTGCCGCAGATTTGTCGGCTGCACATCCCAAAGATGCTCTATTGGATTGAGATCTGGAGACTGTGGAGGCCATTTGAGTACAGTGAACTCATTGTCATGTTCAAGAAACCAGTCTGAGATGATTCCAGCTTTATGATATGGCGCATTATCCTGCTGAAAGTAGCCATCAGAAGTTGGGTACATTGTGGTCATAAAGGGATGGACATGGTCAGCAACAATACTCAGGTAGGCTGTGGCGTTGCAACGATGCTCAATTGGTACCAAGGAGCCCAAAGCGTGCCAAGAAAATATTCCCCACACCATGACACCACCACCACCAGCCTGAACCGTTGATACAAGACAGAATGGATTCATGCTTTCATGTTGTAGACGCCAAATTCTGACCCTACCATCCGAATGTCGCAGCAGAAATCCAGACTCATCAGACCAGGCAACGTTTTTCCAATCTTCTATTGTCCAATTTCGATGAGCTTGTGCAAATTGTAGCCTCCGTTTCCTGTTCTTAGCTGAAAGGAGTGGCACCCGGTGTGGTCTTCTTCTGCTGTAGCCCATCTGCCTCAAAATTCGATGTACTGTGCGTTCAGAGATGCTCTTCTGCCCACCTTGGTTGTAACGGGTGGTTTGATTTGAGTCACTGTTGCCCTTCTATCAGCTCGAACCAGTCTGGCCATTCTCCTCTGACCTCTGGCATCAACAAGGCATTTCCGCCCACAGAACTGCCGCTCACTGGATGTTTTTTCTTTTTCGGACCATTCTCTGTAAACCCTAGAGATGGTTGTGCGTGAAAATCCCAGTAGATCAGCAGTTTCTGAAATACTCAGACCAGCCCTTCTGGCACCAACAATCATGCCACGTTCAAAGTCACTCAAATCACCTTTCTTCCCCATACTGATGCTCGGTTTGAACTGCAGGAGATTGTTTTGACCATTTCTACATGCCTAAATGCACTGAGTTGCCGCCATGTGATTGGCTGCTTAGAAATTAAGTGTTAACGAGCAGTTGGACAGGTGTACCTAATAAAGTGGCCGGTGAGTGTATATGTGTATATATGTATATATATGTATATGTATGTGTATGTATATATATGTATATATAAAAATCTGTAATTTTTGTATATTTTAGTTTTTATAAACACACAATGGAGCCTCAGTTGGTTAAGTTTTTTCCATTTTAATAAATTTTTTATCTATTTCTATTTGTTAGTTTTAGTTTATATATTCATATTCAGACCTACATCTACACTATTACCATAAATGGTTCTAATTGGTAAGGTTAGTATAAAATGTGAACTAATCTGCGTCTCTGTATCATTCCTTTGCTCTCCTAGAACTTCCTTCGTTGTCAGAACAAAAAGAACAACTACAACCTGGTATGTGAGACCTTGCAATTCTTGGACTGCATCTGCGGCAGCACCACAGGAGGCCTCGGCCTGCTGGGGCTGTACATCAACAAGGACAACGTTGCCCTCATCAACCAGACACTGGAGAGCCTAACAGAGTACTGCCAAGGCCCCTGTCATGAAAACCAGGTACAAGAGACACATAAGACGATTTATAAACATAGACATAAAGACGATTTATGTATCGTCTTTATTTCTTTCAGAATTGTATAGCAACACATGAGTCCAATGGCATCGACATCATTATTGCACTAATTTTGAATGACATCAACCCGCTTGGAAAAAAACGTATGGATCTAGTGTTAGAGCTAAAGGTGAGGCTAGATCGTTTCTGATAACCTTTTTATTCTGTTCCGTTGGTATTTAAAAAAAAAGTGTTGCTGCTATTTTTGTTTCTGTCTACGTAAGAATGCTTTTAATCATTTGCACCAAGACAAACATGCCTATCTGAACAAGGTTTTCATTGATTTCATCCCAGAACAATGCCTCCAAGTTGCTGCTCGCCATCATGGAGAGCCGACATGACAGTGAGAATGCAGAAAGGATCCTGTACAACATGAAGCCTAAAGAGCTGGTAGGAAACCTGTGGCAATTTGGTGTAACAACCAAAACGTTTAAGTTTTAATGTTTTAGACTGACAAAAACCAGTGCATGATTGTGAAGTGGAAGGAAAATTATACATTGGAGGTCAAAATACAGCAAAAGGTCTAAAACTTTACTGATCATAAAAAGTTTCCTGTAGCATTTATACATGTGCCTTGGCAGGTGGAGGTAATAAAGAAGGCATACCTACAAGGTGAGGTAGAGTTTGTGGACATAAAGGAGGAAGAGGATGCTAGAGATGAAGAGGAACATGATGCTGCTTCTCCCCGAAATGTTGGACACAACATCTACATTCTGGCTCACCAGGTTGGAGTTTTAGATATATATTCTGGCTGCATGAGAAAAATTGTTCTATATTTTTTCAACATTTCTGCTACTTTTATGAAGAGCTCCCTCTTTCTGGCTACTTTGCAGTTGGCGCGTCATAATAAAGAACTCTCCATGATGTTAAAGCCTGGAGGTGCCAGCGGAGACGGCGACGAGGCGTTGGAGTTTTACGCCAAGCACACTGCTCAGATAGAGGTCATACACTCAGCCAATATAGAATTACCACCTTAGACCTTTGCGCCCCTCTTAGAAATGACCATTTGAGCCTCTTTGTTTTAGATTGTGCGTCAGGATCGCACCATGGAGGAGATAGTGTTTCCCGTACCCAACATCTGTGAGTTCCTGACCTCAGAGTCCAAGTTGCGAGTCTACTACACCACTGAGAGAGACGAACAGGGGAGCAAAATAAATGACTTCTTCCTGCGAGCGGAGGACCTCTTTAATGAGATGAACTGGCAAAAGAAGCTCAGAGGTGGGATGAATATTATGCAAAAACTTTTTAGATAATCTTTAAGTAAATAATGTTTCATGGGTAGAAGTAAAAAATGTGGAAGTAAATAATGAGCAGTTTTGTTCCTATAATGTACAGCAATATAAAAATCTAACTGGTAAAAGTTTTTGCAGCCAATTATTGATCACCGATTTTTGTCAAGAATTCATATTTCCTTTATTTAGACTGCTGAGGATTTTCAGTCTTCCAGGTCATAGTCATTCCATAAAAGTAAAAGAACAATCCATTGGACTTCCCAAGTTTGAAAACGTTTTGCTTCACATCCAGGAAGCTTTTTCAATTCGAAATTTCAGAAATAGCGTTGAGTTCGACGCTTTATAGAGCGGACCAAAAACAAAGCCTTTCTAAGCCAAAATAGGCATTTTTTTGTCCACTGTATAAAACCTCACACTCAACGCTATTTCTGACATATTGAGTTGAGAAAGCTTCCTGGATGGGAAGCAAAACGTCTTCAAACTTGGAAACAAAGTCCAGTGGATTGTTTTCTAACTTTTTTTTTACTTTATTTAGACCTATAACAACTTTATTTTTTAAGTGAATGAGTTGAAATTTGAATTAGTGGAAATGGAAACATAAAAAGCCATTTCCTTGTACAGAAAATACTCAGTATACAAGAAGAAGTTATTTAAATATCTGCCAATATGGTCATAAAAGCAAGTTCACCCAGAGAGCAGAACACAAGATGCTAAAGGCAATATTCAAAAACCCTAAACTGTAATCACAAGACTTGCATCAGGCTCTAGCTAACAATAACGTGAAAGTGCTTTTACAACCGTAAAGAGACTGCTTTGGTTTAATTTTTATGGGAAGTCAAAAGAAAACTCCTTTGCTCTCTATGAAAACATGAAGGCCAGGTAAAGGTTTGCTGTGGACACAGTAGACAAACAACAGAACTTCTGAAATAAAGTTATTTGGACAGATGAGTCTGGATTTAAATTATATGGACATCATAGCAGAGGAAATATGTAGGGCTGGGTATTGTTAAAAAAATTTCGGTTCCGGTACCAATACCGATACCTTCACTTCGATACCGGTTCCTGAACGATACTTTTTTCGATACCAGTTTTATAATATCAATTCGAAAAAAAAGAAAATTACACAACATAAAAAAGTACAAATCTTGAGTGTTATTTTAAGCTCTGTTTTTCCATTTACATTTTTCCTCTTACATAAAAAAATAAATAATTCAGTGTCTAATATTCACTGTTACATTGTGAGGACCTTTTTACTTAGCAGTTTTCCTTTAGAAAAATTACCATGTCTGACAAACAAGCCCGTTGAATGGGATCCTACTGACAGCGCACCGCTGGTATGGGGGGGGTCTGAGCGGCTCCGACAGAAATATTGAAGGCAGGATGAACTGACTGCACTGATTACGTTTTCAGGTGGATTTTCCCACTTAAAAACATAATAAAACTACTTTATTCCCACTGATCACAGCAAATATAGCTGCAAGGCAAATAAAGGATAGAGTAGCTCCGCCCAACGCGCGTCTGACCCACTTTGCGACCGCGCAGCCAGAGCAGCAAAGCTTCTTCAGCAGCGCGTCAGAAGCTGGTACAAGCAGCAAAAATGAAGCAGCAGACGAGATTTTGCTGCTCTTGCTGCGTCCAGTTTGAAAGCAGCATGATTCACTCCGCTCTGGCTTTGCTCTGCCCACGGGCTGCTGAGAGGAGGATGGTCGCGCTGGCTGCGGTCCGCTCTTCTTGCAGTCAAACACAGAGCGACTTTCTGCTCTTAAATTATTTCCGTGCACGATGTATTGCATTGTGCACTATTAGCATCAGTCTTAATAAAGTGAAGCCGCACTTTTGACCTGGGGGGCATTTTAAAGGGGTTCCGCAACGCTGCAACCAGTTCACAAAAGATACACATGAACCCTGGCTGTAGGCGTGACCACCTGTGTATTTTTCCTGGATGACGCAATCACCTTAAGTGTTCCAGCCAATCACCGAAACTTGGTACCGAAAGACGAGGCATGTTTCGATACTCTGTAGAACCGAAGCATTTCGGTCGGTACCATAAAAGTACCGAAGTTCGGTACCCAGCCCTAGAAATATGTGGTAATGCAATGCCAGCTATTTATGTACCACAGTCAGTGCAAAGACTATTCAAAGTGCTTTGCCTGAACTAAACAAATACATTAGATATTACAGCAATACATTTGTATTAAATAGTTGCAGCACTGAATGAAAATCATTTTATTCCAACTGTGCAACAAGGTACAAGTGGCATGAATCCTACCGTCTACCAGAGCTTTCTCAAGGAGTCTTGAAGACCATATATATATATATATATATATTAGTGCTGTCAAAATTATCGCATTATTATCGCGTTAACGCGAGGCCATTTTAACGGCGATAATTTTTTTAACGTGAGATTAACGCTATGTGGTTTTATGGTACAATTTTCCAAGTACATCCCGCTGCAGCCTGCGGGAAGGCGGGGCTATTTTCCCCCAGTCTATGCATTTCTCATAGGCTTCGAGAGCGGACCTCCTCAAGGGAAAAAGACGCCCATACACTTGGTGACGCTAGTGCCTTTTCTTTAAGCCCCACCACCAACAAACAAGTTGAGTGTCTGGTAACTAGTAGCAACCTGAAATAAGCTGAGAAAACAGATTACTGAGGTGAAATGGAATCTGCTACGGCACTCTTGCTGTCACAGGTCGGTATCGTGTGTGTGTGTGTGGGTGGGTGTGTGTGTGTGTGTGTGTGGGTGGGTGGGTGCTTGTGTGTGTGTTCTCATTTTTGTTAAGAGGCTGAAAAGTAACTTTCTAGAGCATAGACTACCTCCATCTAGTGATGTCGGTCTATTGATTTTGATGTATTGATTGAAAATTGTTCATTATTATCTTGGTTAGTTAACATCTAATGTTAACTCTACTGCATTTTATAGCAGTAGGGTAAAATGCTTGTCTTTGTTCAAAAGACTGTATTAACTGTAAAGACTGTCTTTTACATCAGCCTGTTTTCAGGGCCTTTTTTTTGGCTACATATTTGTTATTTTTGGCATAAATCAGTATCTGTGACCTGTTTTCATTTTAAAAAAAGAACATTGGCACAAACCTAGCCTGTATGTATTTTTTTGTATGTCATCGAGAGTATTTAAATGATTTTCAATCAGGAAAAAAATGTGCGATTAAAATGCGATTAATCGCGAGTTAACTCAGGCATTGATGCGATTAATCGCGATTAAAAAAATTTATATATATTTATATATATTATAACACAAAATTAATCTGTTTCCTTTTTTTTGTTTATAGGTATGTTAATAAATGTATTAGATATGCATATGTATACAATTATTTTCCAGAACCAAAGGTTTATCAAGAGGACCTTTATAATATCACATGACTGTACAGTATACAAGTGAAGGCAGCATGTGCGCATTACTGTGCACATTACTGAGCGCACATGCTGCGTTATTCTCATCTAATACAGGACAGGATTGAAGCCTGAGCATAAGTGGACAGCTGTGCAGAGGGACCAATTTGCAGGGACAACTGCTGCCCTCCTGTTCCTCGTTCATGTTACCAGTGCGTGTTTCCGCTGTGAAAAAGCAGACAGGGGCTTTCCAAACTCATTTGAGCCATGAAGCATTTTGTACAGTAACCTTATGAATCACAAGTGAGAGTGTGCGTTTTTGAGTGCACAGACATACACATTCAGACCCACACCCACTCCTAGTGACACGTCTAATCCACATACAACACTCCTGTGCCCACGCACAAACTTTATTTAGTCTCTCACTCAGAGGAGGGAATGGACGTTGAAAAGTCCCTGCATCAGTTTCTTATTTCCTATTAAACCCAAGTTTTCAAAGTCTCTGAAAAGACAGGCTGTAGGTTGGAGAAAAAAGGTCAAGAGAGATATGATTTCAAGATCCCTCATCCTTAACTTGACCTTTTTTGAAGAAAAGCTTCACAGCTGCTTAAATAGCTTGTATGTTTTGTTTTTGTTGCTTTATTTCCTACAGTTCTGATTTCAAAACTTAGGTATTCAGATTAATAGATCCTTAAAGTGTACTAAAAAATGTAATTACATTTAAAAAAATTTATTTTGTTTTAGGACTACTTTATATACTTTAAATAAATGTCTTCACTTTAAACAACAGATGTTAGCAACAGCAAACTACTTCTGGAATAAAAGTATGACATGGATTCTATTTTCTTTTTTTATATATACATTTTTTCCATCAGAATAAACTACAACTAAGGCTTAAGGGACTGAAATGATTGTTTATTTTCCATCTCCTCTCCTCACCAGCTGAACCAGTGCTATACTGGTGCTCAAGAAACATGTCCGTGTGGAGCAGCATCTCCTTTAAACTGGCCTTGCTCATGAATCTGCTGGTCTGCTTCTTTTACCCCCTGGAGGGGGTACATGCAGGTCAGTCACGCTCATGTAACCTTCAGGGAGCAAGTTTTTGAAGCAAGTCATGTTCATTATCTGATGATTAAGTGTGAAAAGCTTGGTTTCAAAAACATTTCCACATATTAAGAAGCAGAGAAAAGTGAAGTTGAGATGCGTAGCTCTGGATAAGATCATTTAGACTTCAGTTCATTTAAATTTCTTCAGAAACCAGGTTCATAAAAAGGGCATTGCAGTCAGCAGAACAAAAAGAGGAATGCATGCCGGCTTGCCCAATTTTTTTTTTTTTTTTTATGTATATACGTTCATAAAATGTTCTAACATGCAGTGGAAGGCAAAAGTACTCTGTAAACATTTTCAAATTTTGGTCACAACAAAAACACATAAAATATGTGTTAGAAGGTTATTTGGTTAAATAAGATCAAGACTAAGCTTTGCATTGATGCAACACGCTGTGTGCAGTCAATAACCAATGTTGCACATTGGCCAAACAAATTGATCTCCACATGTGGGGATTCAACAAAACTATTATAGTGGGTGCCCTCCCCAAGTCTGGTCTTCATGAAAGAGTTTATAACACAATTTGTTTTAGAAAACTAACTCTAAATTGCACACTGAACAAACTGTATCCACAGAGAAACATGGTGGTGGCACCATCATGCTGTTGTGATGCTTCTTTATAAGATAGTCAGGAAAGCTGATATTACATTTAAACAACAGTCTTGGAACAAGCACTGGAATGAGTAATTAATTAATAAATAAAAAAAACTACAATGATTGGTTTTAATAGCCCACATAAAGTCAAAAAAAAAAAAATATATATATATATATATATATAGAGTGGAGTGACCATTTTTATAGTATGGATATGGGCCAGTGTGCTCAATCATGTGGTTTAACACATGTTTGACTCTGTGGGCTGGGGACGAGTACATGCCACACTTCTTAGATATTTGATTTATCACATAAAATCATAATAAAAGAGTAGACCGGTCAACCAGACTGACTTAAGCAGTGAACATGGCATACAAGTCTTGAAAGGAACAGATAGAAGCTAATATTAAAGGCAAAACCAACAGAGTCTACAAAAAGGGGTAAGACATATCAATCAATAACTATTGATATCAAAACAACTTCCATTCATCCAACCATCCATTTTCCATCACACTTTATCCCAGCTGGGGTCATGAGGGGTGCTGGTGTCTATCTCCAGCAGTCTACGGGTGACAGGCGGGGTACACCGTGGACAGGTCTCCAGTCCATCGCAGGGCAACACAGAGACAAACAGGACAAACAACCATTCAGGCAAACACTCACCTAAGGGGACTTTAGAGAAGCCAATTAAACTAACAGTCATGTTTTTGGACTATGGGAGGAAGCTGGAGTACCCGGTGAGAACCCACGCATGCTCAGGGAGAAAATGCAAACTCCATGCAGAAAGACACCGGACTGGGAGTCCAACCTGGAACTTTCTTGCTGCAAGGCAGCAGTGCTACCCAATGCGTCACAGAGCAGCCCCATCAAAACAACTTTTTAAAAGAAAAAAAAAAGTTCTCACTGCAGTTGTTAAAATTTTAAATATATGAACTGTTCTTTCTGGTCATAATAAAGTTAATCTTTAAAACATTTCTCAATTACAGCTTCAATTTTAACTGTTAAGGTTACAGAAAAGCCCTGTTGCATTATGGGCCTGCTTCCCGCGCTGGGATTGGTTTATTGTGTTTTAGACCAGAGAATCTTGATTCCTATGAAACTGATTTATGTCCCATGTAACTCAGTCTGGATGACCAGGCTAATAAAAGACATTAAAATTAGATAGAGATCATAACATAATAGATTTACACCCTTTTTAACCTACAGCAGCAAAAAATAAAAAATAGTAATTCCAACAAATGCTGTAACTGATACTTTTACTTTAAGCTTAAGTGTTTCCACCCACAGATACCATCTTTACTGGACTGACTTTCAGTCCTGATACTGGAAGTCAGCGGTGACCTACTGATCTCCTTTCTTCACCGCATTCAGATCTACTGACGTCTAATCACCTGATCAGGATTAGGAGCGGGACTATCTTGGCTTTAGACACACCCGCAGCTTTCAATGCTTCCCCTCATATTTAACCTGAGGTGCTATGGAAACAACAATAAACATGGTGCCGCTGCCTGCTTTTACTGTAAATAGAGTCTACACCTTCCTAAACAATGCAAGTTTTTTTTTTTTTTTTTATTCAGATCACAGCTGAGGTGTTCTGAAATATTATCCATTTTGTAATTGATAGTATATCTGTGTTCTTTGTTTTGTAATAGCAAACCACATAATTTGTGATTTAAAAAAAAATAGGCAAATGGTTAATATAGTGTTCTGCAAAAATGCTATTTTTGTCACCTTTCTACCTCAAACGCTCAAGTTTTGTGTCCAAGACCAATTTAAAATAACTGTTTAACAGAAAGAAATGTATTCATAGTTTAAAGATAAAAATATAATAAAATTTTTGGTTTTCAGTTCCTTCTACTCTGATTCCCCTAAATACAATCCTAAGTTATTTTTATGCTTTTACAATCATGTGCTGCATTGTATTGGTCCATCACTCCGGTGTGGCCTATGGGTCATTTGAAGTCCTCTTAATGGTTATTGGTTTCCTTAGTTTAACAATACAGGCAAGTCATGCAGATTTCGTTTTTTTTTTAGCAAGATTGTTAGTGATGCAAGATATTTTCATCATGATGCAGATTGCAGTCATCTCAAACAAAAATTTTTACCATTTCTGCACCTATTAATTAAAAAACGCATAATCTCAGGAAGTTTTTTAAGAAAGAATTCGACTCTATTCACATGATTCTGCATCATGTGAACAGACAACAGTTGACCATAAGCTGTGGGATATTGGATCAATGATTTTTTTGTTTTTTCATTTTTGTCTTCAAACAAAAAATACAAGCTGCCTGAATATACACAGACCATATTGTATGCCGTTCTTTTAATAGGACAGACTTGGATGAGTATTTTTTATGTTTTCAATCTAGAAGGATTCAAAAATCCATTTTGGACAAAAATGGGATCAGTTTCTTCGTTTAATCGAATATTGCCTGTTTATTATCAAGCAGTAGCCCGGGGAAAGTTTTAACTTGATTTTTGTTTTTCTCTTTTTTTTTTGTGGCGGGAACTTGAGACATTATGAATCTATCATAACAAATTCTAATAAAATAATTAAACTATGTTGCTGTTACATGAAAAATTTCGAAGGGAGTTACTGTTGCAGCATTACTTTAGTTGTAAACAACGTTCTACTGTCTGGAAAAGGAAAACTAAAAACTGCCATGTTGTTTTATCTCTTTATGTACACACACACAAAAAAAATGTTATGCAACATGAATAAAGCCTGACTGTATCTTTCCTCCCTGGAGCTTGATCTGCATGCACAACATCACGTGAGATTCCTGCATACCTTCAGCCTGCTGAAACAGGCACTTTTTTATGGCGTCTGACCCGGGTCTCCTCTCTTGCTCTCACACACTTGGAAGAAAACATGCACTCTTGTCTCTCTCCTCCCTCCATTACTTAGGGCTTTAGAATGGAGGTTATAAGAGCAAGAGATCTGGGTCAGTGTGCTCAGACTGCACGCATGACTGACTGGCTTTTGATGAGCAAGTTTAGTTAGTATGCCACACTCCTAGCACATGTAAGCTTTCGAACCATGCAGCCCTGCAGTTGTTTTGCAGATATTTGCACACCGTCGTAAAGGAGTTTTAGAGAGCATGTAAGCGCCCCTATTTCCATCTCCGACATCACAGGAGCTGTGCTCCCTGCTCATTCCTCATGAATCTTTCAGCTGAGGTATTTTTAGAGGCTGTTATGTAAGTGGCACCTGTCATGTGATCTCCACTGGGACAGGAAAGGAGAGTAAACTAGAGACAGGGAAGGGAGGAATGAAATAGAGGGGGTAAAAAAAGTACCCTCAGCAATCCCTTCCTGTGCTTCATTCTCCTTGAAGTTTCCCCCTACTTGGAACGTGCTTGTGTGTGACCAAGCATCCAGTAAAGCGACCTTTAGGAGGATTCCTGAAGGTGTGGCATTGCCTGTCGAGTAAAACAAATATTTGCTTTAAGGACACATCGCTAAATGAAAGCCGGGTTTTGGGCTCCTGTAGTTCAGGATTAGAAGAGCATCAGTTTGGCTCTTTCTAATAATTTGTGTGCACACGTACACACTCGGTGTGAACAAATCTGTCACACCTTCTGGTGTTATATAACGTACTCATTTTGATATTACATATCTGGTAATGATGAGGGCATTTAAGGTATTAAAAGTCTGTCATCCATACATCCTCCTTTATTTCCAATAGCAAACACTCTAAAGCTGTTTTTTTTTTTTTTTACAGCTTAATTCTCAGTCAGAGGTTTGCATTCCCTCATACTGCTTAACAATGTTTAACTAATTTAGGGCTTCAACTGAAGGATGGACTTTAAATCTGGCAAAAACCTTTAGGAAATTTTACCAACAAGAATTTAGTGCACACCTTTGAATTAAACAGATTTTTTTTCATTAAAAGACACGGGATCAGAATAATAATAATACATGTAATAATACATGCATACTGTACAAGCATCCCCAATCCTTTACTCTGTTAAATGTTTATTTACAAGCGCCAGGAAACATGTTTTTTTTTTCGGGTGATTTTTCCACAAAATTCTGCTTGAATATTTGATCATATTGATTTAAATTACTTGTGAAACTCATTTCAGATTATTGGTTTCTAGGTACAAATATGGCTTTCAGGTTTATTCCATAAACTGCCAAAAAAAAGTTGTGATTTTTGGGTATCATCATCCTTTTGTAGCAGCTAACTGCTCAATCTCCCACTTGCATTGAACCAATAAGCGTCCAGGGTTTAATTGTCTGATAAAAGGAAACTGGTTTGTTTTTAAGAAGAATTCAGGACCAACAGGTTTAAATCTCTAAACACTGGTTTCCAGGTTTAGTGTGCTTAGTAAAGTGAGTTAAACATCGTGCTGGACTTTGAGGTCGACTTTCAAGAGAAGCCCCCACTCCAAAATCAATTTAATAAAAAGATAGACCTATTTGACCTCATTTATGTCACATAGCTCCACTATTAAGGCTGAACTGAGTCTGTTGTTTCTCTGTTACCAGCTGGAGGAGTCTGTTAGAAGCTTTGAAGCTGTTTATTAATACTGCAACTGAAAAGTTCAGTTGAAATATGTCATCACTAGCCCCATATTTATAACATCTGTTCAGATTCCTAGTGTATCTGCTGGCCACGCTCCATTTAATCATTTGCAATCCAAAGTTTGTTTTTTTCTGTTTTGTTTTGTTTCTGCTAGATTCTTTAAAATCCCCTTCAGCTTGAGGATTTTAGTGTTATGATGGAATAATTCTGCCTATTGTCCATTCAGTGACCTTACGTGTGTGTTATGTGTGTCCCACAGGAATGCTGGAGCCCCGTTTGTCTGTACTGCTGTGGATGGGATTGTTTGCTGCACTGGTACTTGTTGTGCTCATGCCACAGCCGCTGGGTATCCTTGCCCTGGTCGCAGTCACAATTCTCCGTCTGATCTTCTCTGTGGGCCTGGAGCCTACACTCTTCCTCCTAGGTGCCTTTAATGTGAGTGAAAAAACCTTGCAGTGCTGATTATTTAACTGGCTTTAGTTCAAATTTGGGATTTTTTTTTTGTTGTTGCTGTTGTTTGTTCCTGTTCTGAAACAAAAACAGGAAGATTACTTTTTTCAGATCTTATGAAGATAATTATGTTACTGATAACCCTATTAAAATCTTTTCTCAGGTTAAGTGTAAAAAGTGTACTTACCCTATATTGTCGTTTTACTTGTTCTCATGTTACGGCGACAAAACAGTCTAAGAAATTACATTTTATTTTCAGATATTTTCACTGAGAAATGCATAGAAAATGTTGCTGAGTTATGGCATTGTAGAGCTGCCCTTGTTTATGTCTCCAAGAGCTATTCACATCTGCGGATTTTTGCAAAAAAGCTTCAGCTTTTTACAGACTGGATGGGGAGCATCTATTAACAGCAATTTCCAAGTCTTGCCACAGATTTTCAGTTGGATTTTTTTGTAATTTACTTTGACTGGGCCATTCTAACATATGAACTTGCTTTTTTAACCACTTTATTGGGTTTATGTTTGGGGATGTTTTACTGCTTTAAGATGAACCTCATGGCTCTATTTAATTCCCAATCTTCACATTAATACTGACCAGATTCCCACAGTATTATGCTACACCCACCATGCTTCATGATGTTAATGAATTGAGAATAAAGCGTGAGCCAAAATTATCAGAAAACCTAAACGGTTTAAGCTAAACTGCTACATGTACTTCTCAGACTGTTCTTGACAGGATGGATTTCCTATTGCTACTTTTCAACCAAGGAGATTTATGGAATAACCAGATAATAGCAATATCTCACCAGATTTAAATATCTGAGCTGTGGATGCTGATCCTCCTGTATGTTTAGGAGGACGGCTGATTTGTTGACTTAAGCAAATATCTGGACATGGCTGAATCCTTTTTCATAGAAACTGTATAGAATTCATGGTTTTTGTGAGAAAATGTCTTTATGCGGTTTAAGGGTAATTTTCCTCAGAGAAACTCTATCCATGTCACCAGTGTATGCACTTTCAATTACTGAGAAACCTCCACCCAGCCAGTTCCACTTCTCCTTTCACCTCCCATACTAACGGCCACTTGGCAGACCCCATGATGCCCCCCCGCTTCCTCGCAGCTCCTCCTGAGGGTGTAGGAAGAAAGTCGTAACATCAATAGAGTATCAGTGCCCGTCTGGTGTAAGATGAAACGGACACTGCCATAGGTAGTGATTTATTTTCTCCTTTTTTTATCATCATTCTTTAAATACGCCGTTCAAACACTGGGGATTGGTGGTTTTGTGGTTCCCTTTGTTTACTGACAGAAACAAACACGGGTTAATAGGAGAAACCAGGTCATGGCAAGAAACCAGAGATGTTTCCATGTACTGCAGTAACCCGGTTCCTGTATTTATATGAAGGTGGTCTGATTTCTCTCTAGTTTTGCTATTTCTTTTTTCTATCAGTTTCTGTCTTAGAAAACACAATTTAACAGTATCCAAATCAGAGTTTCATTTTTGCTCAAACTCCTATTTTGTAGGATAAAGCACTTCCAGTAACCCCCACCACCACCTCCCAAAACTGGCACATGTGAATAAAAGGAAAATGGGTTAAATTTTACGCGGATATATGACAAAAATCTAGGTATCATTCAAGATGTGTTAACCGGGTTTTAGTTAATACCTCACTTAAAAAAGAACACTGAGCCTCTTATATGTAAGAAATCAAACCTTATAAAATCACTGTTACTCCTCTGATGTCAACAGTGTTCCTGCAGGAGAACCTGCAGTAACAGGATGTCTGATTTTGAAGCACTAATGATTAATCAGCGTACTTTGCATAAATGATAAAACGTGACCTTCTGTGTTCCAGGTTGGTAATAAAATCATCTTCCTGATTAGTTTTGTTGGAAACCGAGGGACTTTCACACGAGGATATAAAGCCATGGTTATGGACTTTGAGTTCCTCTATCATCTCATCTACCTCATCATCTGTTGCCTGGGCGTGTTTGGTCATGTCTTTTTCTACAGCTTGTTGGTGAGAGAAGCACAGAAGCAGCATGTCACCAGATGCTTGTAGGCAGGACATAAATCAATCCTTTTCCACTAGGCGTACACACAGCGTGGTAATTAAAAGGCAGGAAATTAGTTTAAATCATATATTAAAATTGGTTTCTTAGTGCAAGTATTTTGGTCCCGAAGTACTTGCGGTCTAAACCATAAAGATGCTTCGTCTGCACAATTTGGCATCAAAATCTGAATTTATTAATGGTTTTGAACTGAGGCTCTTTTGCAGTTTCTTTACATGCAAACTCCAATTCACAGTCCAAAGACATGCTGGTAAGAAAAATGGCCTCTTTAAATTGCTGTTGGGTGGAAGTGTGTACATGCATGTCTGTCCTGTTTACTTTGATTCACTGAGGCCTGTACTCTGACTCTATAAACATAGAAATAGTAGTTCTAGAATGGAGTTTTCTAGAGGTCATTTAACACTGCTTCTGTGGTTTCTGGAGAGCCTTAGGTTGCTTCTATAACTTGTCATATTTTAGTAATATTTTAAAAATGCAGAATAGACACCTGCTACCAGAAGCAGCAGGTGTTTAAAAGTCATGATTTAAAAATCATAAGTAAAGAAATACTGAAGGGAATACCAAAGGGATCAGTTTTATCTAGCTCTACAGAGTAAAGGAGAGCCCCTCTACAGCATCGGTTGAATTTTATCCTGCAGCTTTTTGGAAACATTTCAAAATGAGAAAAAGGGTCATGTGTAAACTTATGGAGCAACACCCAACAGCTTTATCAATTAATAGTGTTTTAAAATTACAAGCAGTGTATCTGAGCTGACTGCAGACTCTGTCCTCAAGCAGCTTGTATCTGATAGTCCAATTGTTTCTTCATAAAGGCAGATAAATAAAGACTTAGATTATTTTTATGTCTCTTTTGCATAAATTTAAGACAAGCTATGGTACTTTCTACTCAAAGCTATCACGCCTTAAGACTCCTATAGGAGTCTATGCCTATTGCATATTGATAAGCATCTCTTATGAAAATAAGCTACTGAGTCAGAAGCAATAAACATTTTTCCTTTGCATATAATTTGCCTGATATATATTTTTTCTGATGTCCTGAACTCTGTTCCTTTGAAATGTGTGCCATTTTTTGTGCAGTTGTTTGATTTGGTGTACAGAGAAGAGACCCTGCTGAACGTGATCAAGAGTGTGACCCGAAACGGGCGCTCCATCGTGTTGACAGCAGTGCTTGCTCTCATTCTGGTCTACCTGTTCTCCATCGTCGGCTACATCTTCTTCAAAGACGATTTTATCTTAGAGGTGGATCGCATCGCCAACGAAAGCCAAAGTAAGAGATGACGCTACATTCATATTTTTTTACACTTTTACCTGTCGTTTTAGACATTACTAAAACCTGATTTTTGAGAACAACCAGAAAACCTGTGACTTTTCATGTTTTTACTTCGTAGATGGTGGAGGCAGTCTTGCCGGAGAGTTTCTAAGCACAGGAATGTGTCAAGGAGGTATTGATGAGAACTGCAGCTCCAATGCTCTACAGGAAGGTAATTAATGATGTGATACATAAACTTGCTTTTCCTAATTAGTCCTAAACCTAAATGTTTGAAGGCTGCCAAAAAGTTTTGCAGGTGGGCCTTTGAGGTGAGAAGCCTGAGTTGACCCCAGTTGGTTTTCATTAACGCATTCAGAAGTGAACTGGTAGGTTTGGTTGGAGTTTGGTTTCATGTTCCTTGTTTTCTACAAAAGGCTATTGGACAATTTTAAACAGAAAAGGGTAGTTGCTGGTAAAACGGCCGTGTATTTTGAGGAAGATACCAGGGAACTGACTCCTATGACCACAGAAAATGATATTCGGAGGACATTTGTCATTTTTTTGTATTTATTTACACCATTCTGCAGTTCTGCAAAACACTCCCACTTATTTACTCTCACGTGACTCTTCCAAGCGTCATATGACAGTAATTCGATCCAAAGAGCTCACCTGCAACACCCATCGATCTGTATGTCACATTGGTTACCTGTTGCGTCCCAGAGAAGAACAAACAATCTGGAACTTTCTATCAGTCCGGCTGTTACAACAAGACTAGAATAAGTTTGTAAGATAACAGTGACGACTATTGTCTGTGAACTAGCTCGCCGCTGTAATATTCCTATATTTTATAAGTTTATATGACAGAAAACGTTCCTAAAATGTTTTGAACCCACAACCGTTAAACCAGTCGTATAACAGTAGAACTTTGTCACCACTGTTTTCAGCAGATCTGTATGAGCAACATTAAACTGTACCTTTAGTCTAAATGTTAAAATGACCTATATACTACTCTGATGCAGGTCACTTGTTTCAGCAAAACAAGAACATTGTTGCTTTGACTAACAAGCGTCACAGTGGGAGCCCGAGGATGTAAACACAACTGATGTAGAGTTATGCAACAAAGTCAACAGAGTCAAGGATACATTTCATGAGGGACCAGGAAGGAAGGCTGGCTGTAAAGATCATAAAGCAATGCCCCTCCCCTTCTTGTTGCTGCTGGTTATTGCATTTTCTTCACTTACAAAAAAAGAGTTCAGTTTGTGCAGGCTCAAGCTCAGGTTCCGTAGCCGGAAATATTTATGGTTGTAAATAAAATTCATTAATTTTGTGAAAACTAAAGGGTTACCAGCCCATTATTCTGAAGGAAAAGCTTTTTTATTATTTTTATTTACCAAATGTCTCTTAAACATAACATTATCTTGCTGCAATATAAATATTAATTCATAAAAATAATCCAATTACCCACACCTGGATAAAAAACAAAAATATAAATGCTTGGTTAGCCTCAGTTGCTTAAGTCTGTTGCTGGAAACAAAATGTATATATATATACCTTGAAGGTAAGTCCATAGATATCAACAACTTCTAGAGTTTGGCTACATGAGCTGATAGCCTGACAAAATAACCACATAATGTTTCAGCTTGTTAAACATGTATTACTAACTAAAGAATCAAGTGCATAAAATACACTTATTTCTCAAGAGATTACTGAAAAAGAATGTTAAATTTAGCTGGTTTCTTTTATATGTTCTTGCCTATGTTCATTGTTTGTTTTTGTTTTTTTTTTTTTTTTTTAGCAACAGGAAATAAAAGAATTGACTCAAATCAAAATATATAAAAATACATTTTGGCAGATTCTAGGACTATGATGGTTAAATTAATTTTATTTTTTTCTGAAGCAGCCATGGAAATAAGAGCAGCTCCCCCGTTTTCATGAAATCAACTCAGTCATTCTATAATTGTTTTTTCTCCATTATTTCTTTAGTAATCATTATATAATTAAAATCTCATTCCAGCTCACGCCTAGACTAAATTATAATCTAACTCAACCAAAGCTAAGATAATTACACTCAACGGACTATTTTTAACTAAAGAGGATATGCGATCCTTATCTTATTTTATTTTTATATCTTATTTGTATTTACAATCTTATTTTTCTCTCTTCTGTAAATGGTTGCACTGCAAGAAAAGAATTTCTCGCAAGGGATTAATAAATTGATTCTGATTTTAATTTGTGTTCCTTAAAACATAATAAAAGCTAAATATTTTATACAAAAATATGAGTGCATATTGGGTACAAGTAAAAATATTATAACACAATCTTGTTAATTAGTGAGACTTACTTGCAGCCTGTAGTTCAGGGCTGTTTAAGTTACATAAAGTCCATTACTTCCTGATAGTCCAGTTATTCTGGTTCACAATAATAAACATTAACCAATGATAAGGCTGTGCTTTGGTTAGGTTTTGTGTTGTAGTTTTTATTAACCTCTTTACAGAGACTAACTTAAATGTCTTTTCACCCCTTCTTCTTTAGAGTTTGGGATCAACAACGAAGATGAAGGCAACATGGAGCGTACGTGTGACTCTCTGCTCATGTGTATTGTTACGGTGCTGAGTCATGGCTTGAGGAGCGGAGGGGGTGTGGGGGACGTTCTCCGTAAGCCTTCTAAGGAGGTAAATTCCAGTCTGACTTGGTCCCAGGCTCTGTGTGTGTGTCTGTGTGTGTGTGTGTGTGTGTGTGTGTCTGTGTGTGTGTGTGTGTGCTGAAAGGATGGTGCGTCTGCTGCTGCTGCAGCAGCAGGTCATGTGAGTTGGCTCTGAGCTCATTGTGCACTCAACTTGTTTTTATTTCAAAAGCGTGAAGCTTTCGCAATGTTTCCCAACAGCTGCACTGCCTCTGGCTTTTGTTAGTGAATAAAACTGTAAAAAAAAAAAAAAGATTTCCACTGAATTCTAGCTGAACCACAAATGATGTCAAAAAGAGGATGTCTTTGCCCCCTCAGCCCTTTTTGCAACACATTACAACTATTTAGATAAAAAAATGTGTAACGTCTGTTGAGACTGCCGAAAAAAGGCACAGTTTCTCATTACACTTGAGTGTGCTGCAGGGTGGGGAAAGCCGTAGTGTGAAATTAAAAACATTTTTTGTTTATTCTTAAATCCAGTTTTTATTTCAATACATTTTTCTGTAGGTAAAACTACAGTATATGCATATGTACCTTTTGTTTAAAGTTTCCTAGTAATCCACAACTTTTTGGTAAACCTTACTGTAAACATGACAACACCTTTAGTTTCAGCTACTGGCCTCTACCATCAATAAGCACCCATATTTATGTTTCCATACCCCGAGTGATAAAAACAGAGTGGTTAAAACCAGGAAAAAAGAAAAAAAAAACTCCAAAGCTTTCTTTTGAAGAACTGCAATAAAGAGTAGAGTTTTAAGGTCAGCAAACCTCCATTAAAACCATGTGGCTGTGTTTAGGAAAGGGGGAAAAAATAGTATTTTCTGACCCAGCAGTGCAAATGTAAATGTATAGAGTTTGCTATCTGATAACAGGACTTTAAAGAGCATCTTTCACTTAGAAGACAAAAAAGACTAATATTGAACGTTTATGCAACAAGTTAGGAGGATTTAGTGTGAAATTAAGGATAAATGTGTGGAGGAAAAGGACAATTGATTTTGCTTAATTGCATGGTATCATTAAGTCTGAAATACCAAACATCTGCCAAACCATCCAAGTAACCTAAAGTGGGTTAATATTGGGGGAAATTAATTTGTTGAGCTTAAAAAATGGCTAGAGAAAATTTTGATATTAATTGGACATGCTCTGATATGGATTTTGGAGTTTGAATTTCTGTAACAAAATCTAATTTTTCAAAGCTCATGTCTTTAGTGTGAATAAAAAGTAATGCTATAAAATATTGAGTTAGATTGACATATAATTGTTCATTAAACACAAAATCAACTTGCTTTTGTTGTTTTTTTCTAGAGACATGGACCTTTATAGGGGTGGGTTGAACTGAAGAAAAGGAGCACATAAGATGTTATTTGGATGATTTAGAGATTTTCTGTGTGCTTTAACCTCATAACTGTTAACAAAAGGAGGTTATGTGCTCTTCTGTTCAAAGATGGTTGTACAAAGTATGAACAGCAGCTATACCTGTTAATCTGCTACTGCTGACTAAATTAAATTATATTTCTGAACTGAGTAAATGTACTCAAAAAGGAATAATTTGATTGTTTTGCTACTGCATGTATTCGTTTAAATTTTTTTTTTCTATAAAATGGCTGCCAAAAAATCTGCATGTGAAGTGTGTGCCTGAATTTGACCAATGTTACTAAGACTGAAATTGACATGAGCAAGACCGGCTGTGTCATGTTGACTCTGTCATCTGTGCTACTATAGCTTCTGTTAGTACATGTTTCTCTGTTTCATACCATGAGAACCAAGTTTAATCTCCTTTTGAACCCCAGGCACAATCCCCCACTTGTTCAAATGGAAAAACCTAGTTATTTTTTTCTATTTTGCACACTTATAAAACTTTTTTTTTTTTTTCCTATGACTTACTTTCTGTTAAACTGATTGCAATTTATGACAGTTTTAAAAAATCTAAAGATGTACACCTGTCTCATTTATCTATGTAGGAGCCATTGTTTGCAGCCAGGGTGATTTACGACCTGCTCTTCTTCTTCATGGTCATCATCATCGTCCTTAACCTCATCTTTGGTGTCATCATTGATACCTTTGCTGACCTGAGAAGCGAAAAGCAGAAGAAAGAAGAGATTCTGAAGACTACGTGCTTCATTTGTGGTAAGCTTCAAAATGCAAAGGGGCTCTCCACCAGTTTGCATTTACTGGGTTCACATTAAATATGCTCTTTACACAACCTGATTATGACTCTTAATAAAATCTCTCTGGAGAACAAAAAACAGCTTTTATGGATGCAACAAAAGATTATATTGCAAATCAATTAATCTGTCTGTAATTTTTCCCAATTAATCTAATTAAAAACGAAAAGTTTCCTTAAGTAAGACTTTTTATAGAATTAAACCTGGTGAAACTAAAACTTTTCCACTTGTGGAGTTCTGGGTAGAGCATATTGACAGACAAAAACGTTTTCTTTTAATCTTATATGTAAAGTATGTATATACCTTTTTCAATATTTCTATAGTTACTGCTCTAAGTGGGTTGCTCTGTCAGCTAAAGGCATGTTTTAGCGCTGGCATGCCCAAAGTCAGTCCTTGAAGGTCGCTGTCCTGCAGGTTTCAGAGGTTTCCCTGCTCGAGCACAGCTAATTTTCATTGATTGTTGATTAAGAGGTTTTGCTGAACTGCAATCATCAGAATCATCAATTAGATTGTTTGAGCCCTTATTTTCTTCTGTTTGTGCTGCTTCAATCAAAGATAGCTCTAGTGACACGTACCTGCTCTCCCTCTTTCATGGGACCTGTATTTCAATAATGGTTTTATGTAAGCACAAATAATCCTCAGATACCCATTACTATCTACAATGTACAGCCTGACATTAATAACAAGCTATAATGTGTTAGAGTTTGGATTAGCATTTAGCAAATTGATTGAATTGAGCAGGTAGTTCAATGGTAGTTTTTGAAGGAAATGAAAGTTCAGCTATTTTACTGCTGCTTGATATATGTTTTATTTTTTTTATATTGACAGTGCTCTGGAGTGTGTCTCAGGGGTTCAGGTCAGGCCGGTTTGCTTGCCAGTCAAGTGCAGTAACATTACAGTCAATGAACCTGCTTTTGGTACCTTTGGCATTGTTGGCAGGTAGCAAATCCTGCTGGCTGATGAAAGCAGCATCTCCATTAAGTTTGCAAGTAGTGAAAAGCATGAAGTTCTCGAAAATTTTCCAGTAGAAAAATACACTGACTGATGACTTCAGAAAACCATTTGGAACAACACCAGGAGATAACATGACACCCTAAATGATCCCTTGACTGCAGAAACTTTAGACATTATGTGATTGCTGTTTAAGATATTAAAGGGTAACCGCAGAAGATGCACCGTCGTTGACCAGGTCATGTGACTTTGAAGAACGTCCCGTCCAACCCATTGGCCCAGAGTAGCAGCATTTCTCACGCCCTCCAAGCTGAACCTAGACTGCTAGCACGGTCAAAAGATATGGGAGGCTGTCCACGAGATTGTTGACTTTTGCAAAAGTACTGCGGCTTGTGGCCAGTAAGGGAACTATACGTCAAAGTTAGAGGTCTAGTGCCCCCAGTGGCCAAAAGTTACATGTTTCTTTAATAAAAATACAAATCACTAAATGTTAGTGATGGCTTGGCATCATCCGATCCAGTCAATCATCAATATTGGAGCCGATATCCGATCTCTACAAACACATGGATTCAGTGACGTTCCAATCTTTCTCAAGACACTTTGCTTTAGGAATGAATTACAAGCTTTTTTTAATTCCTGAAATGAAGATATTGGTGCAATCTTTTTTCTCCTTAGTCCGGATTAGTAGCTTCTTATGTTGTCTCTGATTCAATAGAGCCGTAATGCCAGAATTGCACAGTTCTCGATCATGTCCCGGGAACGCTTGTAAGTGATGGCTCCAGTTGGCTCTCCTTTTTTGACATAGTTTTTCCTCGCCGATCTTTCCATTTAAATGCTTGGATACTATCCTTTTAATAGTTCTTTATTTTTTTTTATTTTTTTTGGCTTAACTTTCTTGTCTAAAGCATCTGTATCTGTCTGTTGGACAACCATAAAGTAAGAAATCATCTCTGTAATTGTGTAGCTCATAACATATCAAAATGAAAAAAAAAAAGTTTTTATTAGTGTTATGTATTCAATTTTTTAGATAGAATAAATGTATGTTTCATTATCTGTAAGTCATAACCATCAAAATTAACATGGATAAACACACTAAATATTTTTTCTGCAATAAATTGAGTTTTCTGTTATATTACAAGATTTTAGTACCGGATAATGCTTATTCCCTGTGGTTGAAATGGTTTTCTACATGTACTACACTGCATCATCCTTCTATCGGAATTGTATTCTGTCATTCCCAAATTCCCAGCCCAGAGCCCCAGGTTTTGGGCTTTATTCATGGTTTCTGGTAAGTAGGTCTGTAGAGGTCTACTGAATGTTTGTGAAGTTCCCCTCGTCTCCTCCTCCCCCATTTTCACTATGCTGTCGTTCCAACGAAAGCTGAGTCATGAGAGCTTCCTGCTATCGCTTCGTTCGCCTCCATAATTCATGTGTGTCTCACACGCAAACACATTCTCTCCTTCACATTCATGCACAATCCTAATTTCCCTACTCTATGTTTTTGTGCATCTCAACTGATTAGCCAAACTCTTTCTTCTTGAAATGGTTCATCTGTATGTCCTGATATGATCAAAATGTGTGTCAAGGAGATATGTGTCATACAGTGTGTGCATACACACCCTAATGTATGTCAGCGCCGGAGTAGATCTAGTATGGAAGCATGTGTGTGAGTTTGCATATGTTGCGACAGGCAGTCAGAACAAGTGGTAAACATATGGAAGGAGAACAGTATGTCAGCCAGCCAGCCAGCCGTTGGCTGTGAGTCAGTCACATTAAATAAGGCCACAGGGGGAGCTGCTGTATCTATGGTTTCCAGAAGGACCACAAGAGAGCAGGAGATTCAGAGATTAGGAGCCAATCTCTGCAGAAATTAAGTGGCCTGATGTCCTCCAGCTTGGTTTTATAAGCATTTCTGTTTCGCAGTTTGCTCTGTTAGTATGTCGATCTCATGGGGGTCTGCAGCAAATCTCAGCATATCAGTATTAGATAAATTAATTGAATTACTTATTTTTACCTAATTTGTTTAGTTAGGAAACAGGCCCATCTTTTTTCAGCTAGTAGATCCAAGTGTCATCCTGTCATACAGTGCTCCTCCTTTTTTATGGGAATTAAGTTGCTGGTTTAAATATCATAATGTTGGGATCCAAGAGCAGTTTTCTTTTCCTTCAATTTTATCTTATTCTGTTCCTGTGTTTTTGTTTCCCATATGATTAGAGAAGCTTTTCTACTAATACCAATATCCAGTTCCCTTTGAGGTCTGACACACAAATTCAGATTTACATGCAAGACAGGACAGTTCTGTCTAATAGGTTAACCTTGACTGATGGGGATCTGTGCATATCAGACCTAAATTGAACTTGCACATCAACAATAAAGGCTTACTGAAACTTATGAGTAAAAATATGAGACATATATTTAATGTTTTAATAATATCTGCTAGAGTTTCTTGATTTTTCCTTAACACATTCTCTAAACAATCTTTTGAGCAACCCTTTTGTATGAGCATTACTTTTTTTTTGTATGAGTTGCCAATAAGGCCTGGCAAATCCTAAGCAAACATGGCTTACAGTTCTGTCATTCGAAAGCAGACATATAATATGCAGTTTTACAAGTTGACATTCTTTAGTCAAAATTACTATTTGCTTTTGACTTTTTTAGTGCTCCCTTTTGATAAAAATAAAGCCTTGAAAACATTTCTATGAAGTTAGTTTTTCCTCTTGGAAATACTTTTTTGTTTTACCAAGCAATAATTTTAAAATCAGACATGGCTGCCCTGTCTTGCATGGAAAACCAGGTTTTAGCTACGATACTCTCCCAGTTATATGCACCTTTGTTTGTGCATTTCTTACTAAATCAAAAGCTATCATTTTACTGACTAACATCTTCTTGCAAATATCTAATATCCAGTGAAACGTTCTGCAATTCTTTTATATTGCTAATACAGGGTAACTTGATCCCTGGATACAACACTTAGCTTATCTAACTGGTTTGCCAACTTCTAACTTGACCGAGGTTATGAAAGTGTTCATATCATTCCAAGGTTTGAGTTCCAAGGCAAATGGAGCGCAGCAGAAGTAAAACACTTTGCTCCACCTCCCAGTTTTTCCTTGAGACTTTTTTGTGATACTTTCTGTCACCCTGTCTGGTTCCCTGCTGCCAAGCATGCAGGCATGACTTTGGCTACACATGAAGTGTAATTATTCAGGAGGACATACTTTAGCAGAAGTTTAAGTTTGTGTCAAATATGACCAAAAACTAAAAAATAAGAGGCAACCTTGGTGGTGTCAAACATGTCCCACTATCCTTATATCTAGTCTATACCAGTGTGTAGACTATGTCTAGTCTATACACTGGTATGGACCTAGCCTGACGTAGTCCTACTCGATTCTAGTCAGAATATGAGTCTGATACTGCTCCATAGAGCTGTGATTATGGGGTGTGTTTCGAACGAACCAGGAAAAAAAATGCCTCTGCACGCCTAGAATAAGAAGATGAGCCTTGATCGCGTTTCTCTGTTCCTCTTTTAAAAGTAATTTGCTGTCGATATCTTCTAGAACAGACCTAATAGCAGAATCCACACACCTCAACTCTCCAGCGGCAGCCCTTGTTGTTGTCACCCAAGCGCGCTTTGGTGACGTGGTTGATTACGTTACTGTTGATCATCTGTCCATCATCGTATAAAGCCCGCCCTGACAATTTGATTGGCCCACCAGATATTGTGCGAGCATACTCGCGCTACTATTGAGCAATGCCAGACCGAACTTCCCGACCTCAAACGTTGTGGGCGGGACTAAGTTCGGAATGGCACCCAGGCTAGTATGGACCAGGCATAAGCTGATGTTTCAAAGCTCTCCTTGTTTGATCCTGTGTTTCCTATTTGTACTATAATAGATCTGACACTGATTGCTAAGATGATGGTGTGTATTCTCCTCTAGAATAACTACTTTTGTAGTTTTTTTTTTTTTTACAACTACTGTAACTGTAACAAACATCAATAACTTTTTGAAATGTATGATAATTTAGTCAAGTAATTGCTTAACCTTTTAACATCCACCTCATTTTGGGTAATCCTCACCTATTTTGCATGCCCAAATGGAAAAGAGAATTATATGGTGGAATTTTATGCATTCTGAGTTACTACCCCAATCTACTGTCCACCGGGTCGCCGGCGACCCAGTGGTTCAGAGGTTAAGCAAGATTTAAAGATAGCCCTACTTTAGCAGCAATATAAGCTTGTTCTTTGTTTTAACAAGGAGAGTATAGTTTCACGGATCAGAAACTGCTTGAGTCCTGTTGTTTTTTTTTTGTAAACATGATCTGGTTCTGTATTGCTCAGCCAAAGTATTTTAGATTTAAACATCAGATGTTCATTGTTGATCCAGTTTTGTTAAATTAGCATCACAGCCTCGTTTTATGAAGCTTTTTCTATATGTGCTGGTTTCTGATGTCTGGTTTTGATAATGCTTTGACTTACAGCAAGTAATGTAGCCAATACTTTTCAAACCTTTAGAGTTATATATAGCAGCAACATATATGATAAAAGGACCCAATTTTTATTATTTATCTCGTCTTGCTGTTAAAGGCTTTCATTTATTACATTGCTTAGAGATTTCCAAAATGCTGCAAATATTTCCTCGCATTTTAAGACAAACGTTGAAAGCTCTAAAGAATTAAACGAAAGTCTTGCTCTGTCTTGATGTCTTGCAGCTTTAAACTATGTAGGTCTTGGAATGTTACATAAAATATAGTTAATTAGTGATTCTTATAGTGCCTTCACTCAGTGGAAAAATACAATTTTTGTAATTTTTCCCCCAGTTTCCTATCTACCAGTCACTAGTTAATCTAGACCAAGATTTTTAGCCGCTGTTCTATGTCTTGGAGCATCTCCAAGTTATAATTCATTGATTGGATAAAGGTAGAACTAAATTCCAATATAAGCTTTCAATCATCAAGTAATACAGTCACTGGTTTGACATTTTATACCTAAATATAAGGTGACATGTTGCTGACTTAACAATTTTAGCCTTGAAAAGAACTATAAGCTCTGCAGCAGATTTCCTGACTCTCTAAAAGTCTTGAGCTGCTTTTTTTTTTTTTTTTTTTTTTCTCTACAAACGCTGTTTTTCTGTGTTGCAGGTCTGGAGCGCGATAAGTTTGACAATAAGACAGTGACTTTTGAAGAGCACATCAAAGAGGAGCACAACATGTGGCATTACCTGTATTTCATAGTTTTGGTAAAGGTGAAAGATTCAACAGAATACACAGGACCTGAGAGCTACGTGGCAGAGATGATCAAGGTAAACAAAGATTACCCATGGATACCCACACCTCCGAAGTAGATGGTGCAAGAACATATGTTGTAAATGTGATTAATTTGCTATTTATATTTAAATGCAACACATTTTTATAACTGTCTAATTGAGTCACATCTTTAACCTCAGAAAAATATGCAAGGTTAACTTGATGGGGTTGTTTTTTTTTTCGTTACATAAAGTTTTTTCTGTGGAACTAGGGAGTTTCTTCAGTAAGAGATGTTGTAAGTCGTGAATCAAAAGCTTTTCAGGTTGTGTCACGTTTTTTTGGCAACTGTAGTTAGGCAAATAATTTTTTTTTCCAGTTACTAATTCACACTTTCAAACACGTCCTGGGTCGTAAAACAGAAACAAACTCACCAGCGTTTTATCACTTCCTCTTTTCTAATCTTAACTAACAGGTGTGCATAGTTATGCCTATTTAATAATACCAGCTGACTTGTGCAGCCAAAGAGGAAGTTTCTAAAACCAAAAAAAAAACCACAAGCGTGTGGTTTAACATTAAGACCAATCAAGGCTTTCTTTTCATTTAATTATTTCTCTAACCTATGAACACTTCTTATGCACTCTAACCTGAACTGGAACCTTTTCCCTACAATTGCATAAAGCCAAACAACTGATAAAGTTACCGTTTCATTGTAAGTAGCCCCTAGATCTCTGTGTTTCTACTATATGTTTGGCTATCCACAGGAGCACAACCTAGACTGGTTTCCTCGGATGAGGGCCATGTCTCTGGTAAGCAGTGACTCAGAGGGGGAGCAGAATGAAATCAGGAGCCTGCAGGAGAAGCTGGAGTCAACAATGAGGCTGGTGGTCAACCTGTCTGGACAGCTGACAGAGCTTAAGGAGCAGGTATCGTCACCAACAAGCTACAGATCCGCCTGAATGTAGCTCCGCTCCACATGCCTTATTTGTTCCCTCTTTTGTTTCCTTTTTGGTAACAATATTGCCATTGTAGGGAAGTAGTACATGCCAAAATACTAAACAGATAAACACTAGTGTAATATGTACCTGTATTGGTTTATTTATTTAAGACTTCATCTTGAATTAACCTCAGATGAACGCTGTTTTACTACACGCAAAGAAAATATTTTTTTGTGGTTCGTTTTGTGGTTTTAATCTCATAAGAAACCCTCGAGGTGAGCAAGAGATTAGGTGCTTATCAGCACATAGCCTCTCTGACAGATACAGTATAATGGGCTTTTATCATTATGCTTAAATTACAATAATGGAATTGATATTTTCAATAGACTTATAGTAGCATGTAGAACAATTAGCTAACAATTGATGAGTATAATCCAGACTATAGATCATTCATTTTACTTCCAAAGCAAGATTTGCTTTTTTAAATTAACTTTTTTAGGAAAGCAGTCTATAAGCATAAACACTGCTCAGTCTGACAGCAGCAATGGAAGGTGTGTCTAAGGTCATAATACTTGAATACAGAAGTTCCTCTAATTGAAATGTAACCTTTGTACTGCTCTTCTTGTTTTCCTCATACAGATGACTGAGCAGAGGAAGCAGAAACAACGAATAGGTCTTCTGGGTCATCCCCCACATCTGAACATTAATCCCCAGCAGCCTGCATGATTTCCCTGGAGGACAGTTCAACTTTCACCAGTGCCCCAGTAACCCACAACAGAGCACTATAATGTGCCCAAATGTATTCAGGCTGGATGTCCGACTGTATGGTCGATCTGATCCTTCTGAAATATGCTCTTCAGCAGACATGTTTGTACATATGTGTCTACATGAAGTGAAAGTTTTAACCCTCTGCAGTGTGGGTGTGTCTAGGTGGGTTAAGTTTGCACAAAGTGCCTGGAAACCTTAGAAGTCAGTCTTGTCAGTCAAGGAAATGAACACATTGACTTAAGGGTCAGGAACCCAACTGTTTTCACCTTTTTTTTTTTTTTTTTTGTTTCCCTTCTGAAAGCCAAAGTTCAGCCATTGTTGCTGAAGGAGATTTTCTCCTTAAGTGTCCTTTTGTCATGGGTGGAATCCCCAGTGTGGGACTGCAAACTCAGGCCACATGTCGATTTGAAGGTTTGTTTCAGCATGTTATTTAATAACGGTTTCATCTGAATTTATAGAAATGTTATATGCAATGTTGAAACAAGGATGAAATGTGTTGATGTTTTTGTTTTTTAGTTTTTAAAGAGTGTGTTTTATATTTAGCACATAAAGACAAAAAAAAAAACCTTGAAGAGAACCAGATCTCAAAGTACCCCTTAATATGTTGTCTTAATTATCTAATAAAAAAAACATAGTTTTTGTTTTTATATCAAGTATTTATCAATTCCAGAAGTCTTTAAAGGATCTCTCAGTGAGGTCTATTTTGTCCTAGGAGAGTTCATACAAAAACTGAAAGATTTCTTAGAAGCTGTTAGTAAAGATGACATGTCTTAAAAATAATCCTAAGCATTTACTTTAAAGGATGTGTTGTATAAATTCACTGGAGGGTCAATGCAAGTCCTTCCAAATATCTCTATTTTGTTATTATTAATAGGGGCTTAAAATCAATTAAACACAAACTTTATTGTGTCTACACTGAATTAAGTATGGGTTTTTTAATATTTAGTCCAAAGCACTGATACTGTCTGTAGCACACAACTACTTTGTAAAACATCATCATGAGAATGCCTTTTGAAGTGTTTAAGAGTATGAGGTCACTTGGCATGCTGCTTGACCAAACTAAGCTTTTCTACTATTTGACAATTTGTGTCTGATTTGTACATTCTTTTCTTGGAGTTTATTTAAATAAAGACGTGTGTAAAATACCCCGTTTGCTACGTTCCATGTTTAAATCAGCAGAGCAACTAAAGAGGTACCAAATGTTACATTAAAAGGTAAGAACTGGTTGGTTGGTATTTTCCTTGTGGTTTATTTTCCTGCTTCTCAGTGCAGTTGATTCTCTCCAAGCATATTAGACAAGAATGACTGAGGAGCTTATTAGTGAAGCACAGTTTGTAAATAAATATTAAATTAGAAAAGATGTACTCCTCTTTTTAAAGGGGATGTGCATGTTTGTACTTTCTCAACTTAAATAGCACATTATTTTTTTAATTATAAATCGCATTTGATAAATTACTTATTATTTTGACTTCCTTTGGTTTAGTGTGATATATGAGAATATAATGAAAATGTTTATAACTGCATAGTTATATTGGTAAAAATACTCTAAAGCTAAAGGCACAACATGGAGCTCAAACATTTTAGTCATTTTTATTTTCGTTATTTTGTAGAAACTTCTAACCCATGAGTTTCTGTTTCCTTGGCATACAGTATTTCTGTTACCTTTTGATCACTATCACATAGGATTGGAAGGCTGCTTTAAAAAACTGCTAATTGTAGGAAAGCAGCAGCAAAGAGTTGCATATAGGGTTTACCAGAACAACCAATAGACACATACTATATGCCACAGTTGTTTGAGGGTGACGCTAGGAAAAACAAAGGATTTTCTTTCCTACCATTAGAAATGTGAATAAATAGAATGAGTTTTAGTTCTAATGAGACATAAAGGTATAGTGGAGGATGTACTTTTTCCGGGTGGATCATCAAAATAAGTGGTCCTCCTAATTTTATATCATTCTGGTGAAATGTTTACGTAAGGCCATCCTATGCTCGTCCCCATTTTCACTTACTGGTGGTGAGTCTGACATAATGGAAAAATTGCAAGACTTCTTTTGGAAATTAAGCTTGTATGAGCGATGCAAACAGCGTATTTTAAACAGAGTGTGCACAAGGAGAAATGGGCTGGTGCACACTCAAACGTTTAAAGGGGCATTCCCACTGGGGAGCGAGTACAGGGTTGTGGAGAGGGCGGGTTTTTCAAAAGTTTTTCGAGAATCCTCCACTATACCTTTAAACTGGAGCTGTAAGACTAGGAAAAAGTGTGCCAGACAAAACTGTGTCACTTGGGTTTGGTGTTAAACAAGGGGCAATTATGTGGAAAAGCACTTCATGCTTGAAGTGTGAGGCTGTGGGCCTGTTTCTCTGTTAAAGGCCTATGATGCCTTGTTAATGGGCTGGGCATCATGAGCTCCAAAAAAAATTACACTAGATCTATTATTGCACTTTTTTTTTTTTTTTTATTCAATTCAGTTTTTTTTATATGGCACCAATTCACAGAAAATGTCATCTCAAGGCAATTGAACCAGATCATACAGTCAGATTGATTCAAAGTTTCCTAAGGAAAACCAGCTGATTGCATCTACTGATTGATTCAAAGGTAATCCCTCACATCAAGCATGCTTATAGCGACAGTGGCGAGGAAAACTCCCTTTTAACAGGAAGAAACGTCTAGCAGAACCAGGCCCGGTGTGGGTGGCCATGTGCCGAGGCCGACAGGGGTTTAAGGAGACAGAAGCATTGATTCAAAAGGCAACTGTCAGCTAGCTCCACATTCCCTAGAACATTTTACATCAATGTGTGTCTCTATGTGTGTTCTTGGTCTGATGGCTTTAGCTCTTAAAGTCATATATTGCTTTAGCTGTAGGCTTTCCTATAAAGTTAGAATTTTTATCATGTTGATATTTTGAAAAAAAAAATTTATTCTCAGATATTATAAAATTTTTCTTACAAATAATTCAAAAAGTAAATACGCTTGCGAACATAGTGTGAATATGGTGCATTTTTACATGACTGAGTAAATGATTATGAAAATATATTTTTTTACTTAACAGATAAAGTTTATATTTTCTCAAAACTTCTTCTAATCATTCTATTATCACGACCTAACGAATGTCTAAATATAAAATGATTTCAACTTTATGAGCAACAGTGTATAAACATGTTATAACACAGAAATAAGAGGTTTTTCTTAGATATCTTAGATAACTTCCAGAAATTAACATTTTGTAAAAATTCCCAATTTAAGTTTTAGTGAAATATTTAAATATATTTTACCAGGTGGTATTTTACCATGTTTTTGATTATTGCAAAGAAACCATTCATCCATTTTCTGTAACACTTATCCCAAGCGCTGTCACGAGGGCTGCTGGTGCCTATCTCCATCAGTCAATGGGCAAGAGGAGGGGTACACCCTGGACAGGTCACCAGTTCATCACAGGGCAACACAGAGATAAACAGGACAAACAATCCTTCACACCTAAAAGGAAGCCAATTAATCTAACAGTCATGTTTTTGGACTGTGGGACCCAGTGAGGAACCCACGCATGCCCAGGGCAAACATGCAAACTCCATACAGAATTACCTCAGGCCAGGAATCAAACCCGGAACCTTCTTGCTGCAAGGCAGCAGTGCCATCCGATGCCACACTGAGCAGCCCTGCATAGAAACCAAGTAAAAAACAAAAAACTTTCTAGGACAAAGGTAAACAATTCACCAACTGAGCACATAACACTCCCCAACAAGCAGACACCCCAGGATGCATCACTACTATTTCAGTCTCTGATATTTTTCCAGAAAAACCATCAGTCATAAATCTGATGAGTTCTTGCAGTGGGAGGTGTATCTTGCCAAAGTTTTGCAGGGGAACACCTTTTTGCACTCCCTTGCTTCTGTAATATAGTCTTTCCTAAGTCAGTGACACATCTGTTTGATTTCAGTAATGTTAGATTGGCTGACTTTAAAAACAAAACTTTTTTATTTATTTATTTTTTTTCCCAATAGTTGCTACTCCCAAATTAAAAATATTGGTTTTAAGGCTGCCAAAAGTAGACCTTGGCTTTACTTGTGAAACTACATAAAATTAAGCTGAAGTTTTCTTGAATTTTTGTTAAAAAAAACTTTAAATTTCCATCCATCTTCTGCCCTTATTCCGGTGCTTATCTCCAGCATTCTATTAGCGAGAGGCAGGGTACAACTCTCTGTCGCAGGGCAACACAGAGACATACAGCCACTCACACCTAAGGACAATTTTGAGAAGCCAATTAACCTAACAGTCATGTTTTGGATTGTGGGAGGAAGTCGGAGTACCTGGAGAGAACCCACGCATGCACAGGGAGAACATGCAAACTCCATGCAGAAAGACTCTGGGAATCGAACCTGGAACCTTCTTGATGCAAGTCAGCAGTTCTACAAACTGCACAATGGTGCAGTCTGCTTTAAAATTTGTCTACCTAATTCCTCAGTTATATGCATAATTGTGTATGTATGGATTGGGGAGTAAAGGACAAGCTTTCATTAGTTTAAGTGCTTATTTATATAATTCATCTATTTTTTGTTTGGATCAAATATCTGTTCTTCTCTAATGGCATAACAGTTGCAGCATTTAATATCATTGATGACAAATTTTGCAAGAGCAGACAAAGGTGTTCCAAACTGGCTAATCTTTAGCACTTGAGAATAGGAATTTGCGTATAACTTTTTAAGCATCCGTATATGTTTTGGATATTTAATTAATTTCCAGTTTCATCAACTCACACTAGCGTCTATTTCTAAAGGGGTATGGGTCCCTGTATGGTGTATCGCATGGTGGATTGGATGGTGGACAGTCTAAGACTCATAAACATTTTTTTTGTTTTCATATTATTCTTTTAGGAACCACCTTTCATGGATGCAAATATAGAAATACATATGCAGGTTCTTTATTCTAGGAAATGACAATAGATTTTGATTTGTACACTAGACATGGTCAACTATAAATTATCTTGTGGCTGTCCTGATGCAAAAAATAGACCAAAATTAAGCTTGAAAGGATGAGTTTAAGCAACTGGACTAAAGTTTTCTAGAAGGCCTGCACAGGAATGGGGGTGTCATCTTCTTATGGGGTGGTCAACGTGACAGTCTGCACCATGTATGACGACACACACCGTCTACATGCATAAGTCCATGTGGTTCATCTCACCCCTGTCTGAGCTGTGCACTTCCAGGTAAATATTGTTTATTACACTGAAAAAAAAATAATGCAACCACTTTTGGCATTTACGTAATTACATTTAGTTACATTAACACAATTGTTTTTATGTCCTTCCCTGCTAACATGAAAGAATTGTGTTAAAGTAACTAAATATGATTAAATGCAAAAAATTGTTGCATTCTTTTTTTCAGTGCAGTCTATTAAACTGCTGCTTATTTCTCACTGCAGTCCCAAACATTAGGCAATGATCCTGGATCATATCCCTCCTGTCAGTCTGTTATTTGTTGTACATATTTCTAGGTAACCCTTTCCTTCAGGCCGGACTCCCGCTGAACACTCCGCCATCACCGCCCTTCCCTCCATGCTGCTCAGCCTTGTTTCCATATACTCCAGCATGGTGGTACACGGGATTCGTGGCGCGCCGGCCTCCGCTCTGACGTAAGCAGCGCCTCGGCCAATAAGGAGCCTCCCTCTGGGAAAGGGGGCCGTCCTCCCTGCGGAGGATACAGCGCCGCTTAACACGTGAGCCTCATGTGACAGAGGTAGGTCAGACTGAGCGGAGAGTCAGAGGGTTTATTTAACTCGTCGCTCCAAACTCCCCCACTTCCCCGACGCGCCACTCAGAGAGGGAGGACTTCCTCCTGCGGCGGGACCACAGAGTGGGATTTACATGGACTTAAACTAAACGCACTTTAGATATAGCGCATACACTTAAAGCTGTGCTTAAAATGAATAATTCAACATTTTTATAGGATTTTTTTGTTGTTGTTGAGACGCTCAAGTCTACTCCACTCCGCCTCTAAATACATGCGTGTTTGTTTGCGGCTAAATCGGTGAAATATATTTATATATATTTGGACCCGAACAAAGAATGGAGCGGATTCCAAGCGCGCAACCTTCCCTCTCCAAACACCAGCCTGAGCTATCAGACATGCAGGGGTAAGTCCCACTGCTCCC